AAGCGCAAACTCAACTAAAATGCAGTAAATTAGAGTGTAATAATCAACTAAAACACGTAATTATTGCCTATCATCAATAATTAATCACAAGAAAATACCACTCTTCACAAAGATAATAACCGGGGATCTCTCAGTATCTCGAGGATCCCTTAGTACCCTCAATACCTACCAAGGATCTCTTGGTATCCCGAGGATCTCTTGGTATCCTCAATGTATGCTAAGGATCTCTCGGTATCCCGAGGGTCTCTTAGTATCATCAATGTATGCTAGGGATCTCTTGGTATCCCGAGGGTCTCTTAGTATCATCAATGTATGCTAGGGATCTCTTGGTATCCCGAGAATATCTTGGTATCCTTAATGTATGATAGGGATCTCTTGGTATCCCGAGGATCTCTCGGTATCCTCAATATATGCTAGGGATCTCTTGGTATCCCGAGGGTCTCTTAGTATCATCAATGTATACTAGGGATCTCTTGGTATCCTGAGGATCTCTCGGTATCCTCAATATATGCTAGGGATCTCTTGGTATCCTGAGGATCTCTCGGTATCCTCAATATATGCTAGGATCTCTTGGTATCTCGAGGATCTCTTGCTATCCTCAATATACACGCTGGGGATCTCTCGGTATCCCGCACTCCAGCTCAAATCATAAATGCGTACAAGGGATCTCACGGAATGTTGTCCCGTAGTCCCAAAGTAAAACATACAACAATGACACAAGGAATACTCAATTAAACTCAACTTCATACCAAAGTAACCAGACAATTCTAACCTAGCATGCTTCACGTAATACAAATAAGGCAGTTAAAGCAAATAAAACAATTAAGTCAATTAGACATGCTTCTCTAAGCTAACAACATGTTTAAAAGTGCAAGTAGAATAAATAGAAAGGGAAAACACAATTAAAGTTACTTAATGAAAATAAGATTTTCAACAATTAGCACAAGTACACACTCGTCACCTCACGTACAAGGTATTTCAATTATCACAATACAAATCCTAAGGGGAAAGTCTCCCATACAAGGTTAGACAAGCCACTTACCTCGAACCGGCTCAAAATCAACCCGAAACCACGTTCTTGCCATGGGTACTCGACTCCAAATGGCCCAAATCTATTCAATTCAATTGCATAATGTAAATAACACTTCAAGTAACTGATTCTACAAATAAATTCTAAGCTAGTACACGAAATTAGGTAAAATGACCAAAACGCCCCTCGGGGCCACATCTTGGAATCGGGTGAAATTTATATTTTCAGAAACCTCGTACTCTCACGAGTTTATACATAACAAGAACATTGAAGTCGGAGTTAAATTGGCCCCTCAAATACTCATGTTAAGGTCTCTTAATCTCAAACCCTAATTACCCATTTTCCCCAAAATTATTCACCACTAATTAGGTCTTTAATCACATATAAACGAGTTATGAAGTCAAAAATGTTACCTCCTAGTGATTCCCCTTTGGTTTCCTCAAAAATCAACGTCAAAAGCTTCAATCCCGTTCAAAAATGGTGAAAAAATGAAGAAGGATCGCGGATGGGCTATTTAAATACTGCCCAGGTATTCCTACTTCGCGCACGCGGAAGGCCCATCGCGTTCGCGAAGCACAAATTCACTTGGGTCCAGATTTCTTCATCACGAACGCGATGCATAGGTCGCAAACGCGTAGGTATAAAACTCCCAGCTTCGCGAACGCGAACCATAAATTGCTCACCAACCCAGCTCCTCTTCGCGAACGCGAGACCCCACTCGCGAACGCGAAGAAGGAAACTAGAACCAACTGCTGCTACATTTTTCTGCAATTTCTAAGTTCCAAAAATGACCCATTGAGCATCCGAAACACTCCCGAGGCCCCCGGGACCTCAACCAAACATGTCAACCCATCCTAAAACATCATTCAAACTTATTCCAATCTTCGGAGCTCTCAAAACAACATCAAAACACCAATTTAGCATCGGATACAAGCCTAAGAACTTCAAAAACTCTAAAAATACGCTTTCGATCAAAAAGTCTACCAAACCTCGTCCGAATAACTTGAAATTTGGCACACACGTCACATTCAACACGACGGAGCTACTCCAACTTCCGAAATTCCATTCCGACCCACGGATCAAAATCTTACTATCGAACCTAAAACTTCAGAAATTCAACTTTCGGCATTTCAATGCTAAATTAGTTACGGACCTCCAAAACACAATCCGAACACGCTTCTAAACCCGAAATCACCCAACGGAGTTAACGGAACCATCAGAATTCCATTCTGAGGCCTTCTTCACACTGTTCCGACTACGGTCAAATTTTCAAAACTTAAGCTCTCATTTAGGGACTAGGTATCGCAAAACTCTCTGAAACTCCAATTATTTCCCCCTGACAACTCACAACAGCAGATACAAATACGGAAAAAGCAGTTAATAGGGAATCAGGGCGTAAATTCTTAAAACGACCGGCCGGATCATTACAGTAGTGTACAAAATAAAATTTGTGATTATATTTTTATTATTATTTTATTTGATACACAAATGTTATTGGTTGAATCTCATGTATATTTTTATAAATATTATTATTAATTTATGTATTTAAAATATGAAATCTAATCGAATTTTATAATTAAAATGTCAAATTAATATTTGTTCCAACTTGCAAGTGTAAAATTATGGCCCTTCGTTTGTAAATGAACAAAAGTATTAGAAACAATTGAAAAGCTCTTAAACGTTAATGATTATTTCTGGTTGAAATCTAAGTCACTTTTTCTTATTAAAACTAATCTATTATTGCTAGGAAGATTTTTCATCTTCTCGAATTAGCTATTTGTTCAAATATATAAAAGGTAAAAGTTAATTAACTTTAACAGCTTGTTTGGATGATTGTTACCCATTGCATCGTATCGTATTGTTACTTTAAATACAATATTTTGTTTTGATTGTTACTAAAATTTTATTGTATCGTATCGTTAAATCCGTCGTTACATAGCGACGAAATGTGCCACTTTATATAACGACCGATTTGGTGTGGTCGCGTCGTTACCTTGTCTTTTTCTCCAATCTCACCCTTTATTATCATTAAATTATTTTATTTTATCATTTACCCTATCTTTTTATATAGTAATTATACATTGTATCATAATTTTTCTTTATAATATTGCAAGTTTATTCTTCATATTGCTGGTGTGCGATATCATGAAACGATGGCAAACGACACAATCTATCCAAACATTGTATTTATCAAATGATACAGTACAATACAATATAGTACGATACGATACATTATGAAACGATGCATAACAACCATCCAAACAAGCTGTAAAGTAGTACATAATAGTTCAAATAAGGAAAGATTTAATAAGCAAAATTTTAATTAATTTAAAAGTCCTAAATATTAGAAAAATAATTAGGTGACTATTTTGTCTAAAATGAACTCAATTTTTAAAGGGTAAAAAAGGCGAACGACATTTCGCTAAGGGCCTTCATGCTTTTAATATATATATATATATATATAGAAGAAGAAGAGTTTGTTGTAGATAAAGTATTAATAACGGCTAGAAAAGCCGCTAAAGCAAATAATTGAAAAACCTCAGAATAAAATAAAATATAAATTCTAAATCCTTTTGTATTTCTCTAAGATTAATTTCTAACTGTCCAATTTTTTGGTTTATATTTTAATTTCTCTTATATATTCAGGTCTATTCATGTATTATCCTAAAGGAATCAATTCTATTTTATATTCCAGCTAACTTATAAATTCTTCGTTTGTTCTTATATTTTCTAATATAGCATATAATTCCCAAAGGATATCGAATTTAAGTTCTCTATCTTTAATACTAGTAAATTTATTAATCTGCTTTTTACACGTTTAATTTTTTGAACTCCTTTTATTGTATTATGCCTTGTTTGATTATGATATCTTATATATTTTGTAAATATATGTTGTCTCATAGATATAGAAAATTTGAGGATCACTGGGCTCTGATACCAGAATAAAATAAATTATAAAGACGGACTTAAAACACTTTCAGAAATCCTTCTTTTCAGCCTTGCCGGATACTTCACTGGGCCCCATCGTCACATGGCCTTAATAAAGGTTTCTTCTTTATTTGTCACTTTTTTCAATTATTTTTTATTTTTCCGACATACTTCATCTCTTCATTCCAATTTTTTTTAAGTCTTCACATTTATGTCTTCTCATTAATACTATTATTATTCCATCTTTATGTCTTTTCTCTCTAACTAATCTTTATCTTTATGTTCCTTCTTTCTTTTTTATATATATAAATAGTGCAGAGCCACTGAATCAAAGCTCCTTCCAGAGTCATCACCTTTATTTTCGTGATATCCTATATCCGAATCTTTAACTGTATTGTCCGCTTCTGAATGTTGTGGGGCTGCTTTTTCTTTCTCTGGTCCTCCTCCCAATACGTGTTTATCTTTTGTCAAGAATTTTTCTAATGTCTGTATAATATGATATTCTCTATTTTTTCAACATTCTTTTTCTTGAAACTATGTGTCTTCTTCTGGATGTCTCTCCTTGAGTAATAGATCTTGGCTGTCCTCTTCTTTCTTTAATTTCGGGAGTTAAATTTACACTTTTTGACAAAGTGTCAGCCATTAACGGATTTGATGTGTCTTAACGACCACCGTTTGAACCGGACTAGTTGTATCTAGACCTGATACAATAGGTTTATATATATATATATTTATTTATTTGTTTACAAATGTTTGGTTACTTTGAGTTGCAAAAAATAATTCTCACCAGAAAGAATAAATTGATTTTCCTAATTATATGCTGTTTTCCTTCAAAATTAGAGAATTCTTTTGATAGATAATATGGACTTGCTCTGGACTTGGCGTTCAAATAATCTGTTTGTACAAACAGATATTGCAACTTATCTAAATGCAGTTAATGGTAAAGTAACAGAGGTACTAACACATTTGTTGTGAAAGGTAAACAGCAATATATAAAGCTGTTTATGAATCAAAATGCAAGAGAAAATCAAGCAGAACAACATTTCATCACCAAAAGCAGTTCTTATATGAGTATTATAATAATTTTGTGTAAATACAAGGCCATATACAACAACTACTACGCCTCAGTCCCAAAATAAAGCCATAAAATGACCCCGTAACAACAAAACAGCAAAAGAGGCTTTAAGCATATAGCGATATACAACTTATTATCTATATTACTCGGACTCTTTGACAATATCCGGATTTGTGTCAGATCCTCCAAAAGTAGTGCATTCTTGGAGGATCCAACACGGATGCGAAAGCATTTTGGGGAGTCCGCACAATATTGCTTATTATCACTACTTATCAGGGAGTGACAGAAACAAACCATTGCAGTATATTAACTGAAAATTTCCAAACGCCTAAAGAAATTATGCAAGGTTCCAATGGCAACTTCATGTACTCAGAGGGTAAGGTGTTCCACCTTTCTTGTGTTACTAGTTACTCCTTGATTTGGTTTTCTATCATCTTGCTCATCATAAGAGTTCCCTCTGAAACTAGAGCTAGCCTCTTCATTATCCGAGCAGCCCGGTCTTTCCGTTAGGAACTGTTCCCAAAAAACATCGTTGACTCGAACCTGAGTAGTTGCAGCCCCTTGCTTGTTACCAGTTGCATCATGTGAAGGTGGCAAGGATTTGTCATCATTAGGAGGATTTTTGCCATTGGCATCAGACTGTGATTCAGAATGTTTACTCATCTCTTGACCTATTAGAGTCATCCTCAATGAATGTTGATTTTTATCGACTTGTGAAAGACACGAAGCCAAAGAAAGATTCAGCTGGCAGGAGATGTGACCGTCAACTTCCTCGTTAGATATTAGGCTTTGTGGCAAGGAATGAAGTCTTGAGCTTTCAACATTGCTTGCTGCACGAGGCAAAGATGAATCCATCTTCAATGTAAAAGACGTCCCTGTATCTGATAGTTCTATTGCTTCAGGGGTATAAATTACTCCCCCCGTTCGAAGTTGCACTTCTCTGGACCAACATTCAGATATTCTCCTATGCGGGCTTCCACCATCTTCATTCGAACTTTGGGTGCTGCACGAAACAACGTTGATATCCGAAACAGCAGGTGACAATTCGAGCCTGAGCTTGTTTGAAAAGTCTTGGTTGCAAAGGTTCCCAAACTCAACTCCAGAACTGCTATGGTTGTCTACCGACATATTTTCTTGAACTGGTTGAGAGCTGTCGACTAGAGGTAATCGCCTCTTCTTGCTAAATGCAGAAATATCCATGGACTCGAGTTTCTGAGCAAGACGCTCAACGAAGTCAGGATTCAGAACTGCCTTCTCAACAAATGTCAGTAAACTCTCTTGCCTTTGTTCTATACCGCCAACCCGCTCAGTCATTTCTTCTAGCTGGAGTTTTGCAGCAGATTGTTGCTGTCTGAACCTTAAGACATTAGCCTCGAGCCCAGACTTCTCACGTGAAAGCTTATCAATCTCTTCCTCAAATGCAGCTCTTTCTGGATCAACTGTGGAACCTGGAGGGTGACTATGGCTGTGAATCGGTTTCCTACGATGAATATTCTTAAGGAGATGTTTCTGGTCTTTCACAAATTCCTCATTGGCAAATTCCCATCTTTCAGGATCAATCTTCCGGAAGCCCTGTCAATTAAGATATTTATGATGATATTAATCTCAGATTAATTATGGCAGCAACTATAGAATCGGTCCAAATGAAGCAAAATGAATAGTGAGGAATCATATAGGCGATCCTACCTATGTAATGGAATACTCTAAGCGATTAGGGAAGAGAAAGCTATGGTTCAAATTCACAAATTGCAAGGAATAACTAGCACTCACAGACACAGGAGTTACTTACCATTGTATAAATTGTTTACTAGTATATAAATCTGATAGGAATTTATATTGAACATTGACTAAAACGAATCACTGGGATTACATCAGAAATCATGCAAATTTTAACAATACTCAAAAATTAGACATGCACGTCTGTCTAACTGCATAGAGTAAAATTGTTTTATACAACTAAATGTTCGTTTTTATCAGTTTTATGTATTTCAACATTTATCAGGCCACCCAGGAAGAAGTGTTAGTGGTGTGCGTGTGGGAGGAGGGGAAGGGAACACAAATCATCAGTCAAGGCCTGGTATGAAGCGGCGTGTTAAATCATCAGTCAATGACTGGTAAGATGCGACGTGTTAATCCCTGTCATGTGCAAAGAATTATGAGAACATCTTCTGATGCAGACTATATGGTTCAACCAGGAACATCGACAAATTCAGTTGCCCAAAGGCCTTCCAGTTAATACAGCTTCAATTAACAAGTATCCATCTTGGGTTCTTTTGATGTAGAGACTTATATATGACATACTAAATAATCCAATCAGAGCAAGAAAAGTAGTTTCACCCCTTTTAAGAAACATCGTCCCAGGTAAAGAAGTAGAATGCCAGGTAAAGAGATGGCTTAGTTCAAGTTCTGATAGCAGTGTCTTTATATTTCTGGAAAAGTGAGAGTTATTTTAACAAAGACAAATACTCTAAAGGCGGAGTAATCCTTTTTTCACAATACCAAAAATTTTCAAGGGTTTCAATCAAACTGTCACAAGAGCTAGAAACATCTCCCCTCCCCTTTTCTGTCCACAATGGTTTACACCATTGATCCAACTCAAAGTTTCAATTTTTAAGCCGAACCCATTTTGACAGATACAAGATTGATTTTGAGCTGAACCCAATTTTTGATAGATTAAACGGAAAAGGTCCAAATAACCCTCGTTAAAAGTTTGGCCCATTACCCACCTTGCCGTTACACTCTTGGCTCGGATACCCCCTTAATTCTAAACGGCTGCCACAGTGGATAAGTTATCCACTCATAATTTGACACGTGGAATTTTAATTTACACCCAAATATTTTAATTCACACCCAACCGGATCTAATTAACCTACCCACTACCCATGACCCGACCCGTAAATTGGAGACCCCTTTCTTAAAAACATCCGAATTTTTACTTCACTTTTCTGATTTCACAGGAAAAGAACTTTTANGATCGTCTCTGAAAAAGACTGGACAAGCTGCAGATTCTATTATTCTCTTCTGAAATTGTGGATCTTCATTCAAATTCAGGGAAAATGAAGACAATTTTTCTGATTTCACAGGAAAAGAACTTTTATCATCTGCATTATCGCCAAGCAAATTGAGGTCAAAGTTAAACATCTTTTCTGCTTGTTTTGAACTTTGATTTGAAGAATAACTTCTAAAAGTTGATGTAATCCTATTTTCACTTGGCAATTCGTCTTCTGAAGCAGCAGCAACATTAAGGTCAAACTCCATAATTCTTTTCGTGTCCCAATCTGAACTCTTGGATAAAGAAGCAGCAGGGCGAAAAGCACTGGTCGCAGCAGTACCCCTTCAGCCTAGCCTGCCTTCAAATTTCAATGAACTCATAGTCGTAGACAAGGGAGGTAAAGGAACTCCATATTTAGCTACTACTCGTATCACTATATTTTGACCATTTGATTGCTTCGCATCATCATCCAAATCATCTTGGTTGACGTCCTCATTCAAATCAAGCATATTGACTACTGAAGTCTGTCGCTAATCTATTTCACACTTTGTGAGTGGACAAGCAGGTAATTTCAGGCCACCATTAAACTCGAGATTTTTTGCAGGATTTCAGGCCACCATCAAACTCGAGATTTCAGGCCACCGACCAAATTTGTTCGATTAGGTACCAAATCTAACCAAATTTGATAAGTGAAGTAAAAATTCGAGTGTTTTTAAGAAAGGGGTTTCCAATTTACGGGTCGGGTCACGGGTAATGGGTAGGTTAATTAGATCCGGTTGGGTGTGAATTAAAATATTTGGGTTTAAATTAAAATTCCACGTGTCAAATTATGAGTGGATAACTTATCCACTGTGGCAGCCATTTAGAATTACGGGGGTATCCAAGCCAAGAGTGTAACGGCAAGGTGGGTAATGGGCCAAACTTTTAACGAGGGTTATTTGTACACCTTATCGTAAAGTTCAAGGGGGTATTTGGACCTTTTCCGTAGATTAAATCAATAAGATTCAATCTTTCGGTGAACCCTTCAATTCAAAGATTCAAATTTTCTTCTAAACCCATTTCGACAGAGATAAAATCAATCCAAACATTCAATCTTTTCAGCTGAACCCTTCAATTGAAAGATACAATTTTTCCTCTAAACCCATTTCAACAGAAAGATAACCAACTGAAAGTTTCAATTTTTAAGCTAACCCATTCCGACAGATTGAAAATCAATTCAATGATTCAATTTTTCAGCTGAACCCTTCAATTCTAAGATTGAATTTTTAATCGAAACCTATTTCGACAAAAAGAAAATCAATCCAAAGATTCAATTTCTAAGCAGAACCCATATCAATAGAAGTCTAAATCAATTAAAAAACACAGATAGATACAGATATAATATGTATGAATGTGTACGAGAGAGTGGGGCGGGGAGGTTAAATAAGGCACACATAAGACTCAAAGATTCAATATTTTAAGCTAAGCCCATTTCAACAGAGATGAAATAAATCCAAAGATTGAACTTTTCATCTAAACCCATGTCAACAGAAGTCAAAATCAATCAAAGATCCAATTTTTAAGCTGAAACTATTTTGTAATCAACTCAAAAAAAATCAATTTTTAAGCTGAAACCATTTCAACAGAGATAAAAATAATCCAAAAAAATCAAATTTTCATCTAAACCCATCTCAACAGAAAGAAAATCAATTCAAAGATTCAATTTTTAAGCTGAACCCATTTCATTATGATAAAACCAATCCAAGGATTTAATTTTTAATCTAAACCCATTTCAACAGAAGTCAAAATCAATCCGAATATTCAATTTTTCATCTAAACCCATGATAAAATTAATCAAAAGATTCAATTTTGAAGCACTACCCATTTCAACAGAAGTCACAATCAATCAAAAAACACAAATATATACAGAAATAGTGTGTGTGTGTATATATATATATATATATATATATATATATATATATATATATGAGAGAGAGAGAGAGAGATTAGACATACATAGGTGTTGAGCTGACGGATGAAACTGGAGAAATTGTTGTGCTTGAAATAAGTAGGAAGAAGAATTCGAGCAAATTCCGGAGGATTCCAAACAACAAAGCTGTGACCTGTCGGAGTCCAAGAAACTATATCATCAGTTTGCGAATCATCTACCATTTCATATGTCTTTAGCAAGAACGGCGCCGGACCTCCTCCTCCTCCGGTGGCAGCAGCCGTAGCTGAAATTACATCCATGTAGAGATAGAAAGTGAAGGGAACGCGCCGCCGAGGGATGACAGAGATGATTTTTGAAGGCTACGGCTTTTAGCTGTTGGAGCTTTGACTTCAAAGTTTGCGTTCCGTCGTTGAGTCTTTGACTAATGCTTTACCTCAGATCCGGGTTCGTTTCCAGTTTAGAGTCCGGGTCAGGACAGTTTGGTATCCGGGTTCAATATAGTACACGAATTTAAAATAAATGAATTTCTTTGAATTTTTTTTATCTTAAATACAACAACAACCGAGTAGAATCTCACTAGTGGGGTCTTAGAAGGGTATAGTGTACGCAAACCTTATCCTTACCCGGGAATGATAGAAAGACTGTTTCCGAGAGACCTTCTGCTCAGAGACCAATTATTTTTTTTTAAATCTTAAATATACCATAATATTTATATAACTATAACATAATTAAAATTTGTAGTATTAAATATGTTAGAATTTGTGTGACTGTAAAAAGTTGCATTGAGAGTAAAATGTGTGAAGTTCAAAGTTAAAAAATTTCGAAATATAGAAAGATATCTTCTGTTACCTTTTGTACGGGAAAATAANTATATATATAAAATTTTAGGACTTAATAGGATATGATAAGTGAAAAGAACATAGGCTAACTAGTTTTCGCACTAATAATTGAAAAATAGTCAGTATTTATAAGATTATTAAGAAATAGTCAATATTTTATGCGGAGATAAAATCTAGACAAAAATACCATAGCTGAAACACGAAAAGTTTCAGCATAATATGCTGGATTATAGAGCTATTGTGTATAAACTTCCAGCATATTATGTTGGAACTCCGGCACATTTTTAAGCATATTATGTTGGAACTCCGGCACATTTTTAAGCATATTATGTTGGAATCTCATATGTAAAAAATTCGCACTCCAGCATATTATGTTGGAATTTTTCTGACTGTTTTTGTTCAGATTTTATCTTTGCACGAAAAAATGACTAAATTTCGATACTTTTAAAATTTGGCTATTTTTAATTTTTATAATTCGTTTTACTTTAAAATGATTTATGGCACACATATTTCTATGGCTTGTTGTAGATCACAATTTACAAATTTCAAAAAAAAAAAAAATATATAAATTTGTGTCCAATCAATTATCATCACATAGCGAAACGAAGGGACTAACAGGTATATCTATATGTTAGATTGATGAAAGAAAAATGTGTAACTGATAGAGTAGAAGTTAATTGAAGGTCAGTGGTGGTTTGATCCTTGGCTTGTTTTCTCAAAGGTATTTAGTTCAAATTAAGTTTTCATTTGTCTTGATAAATATAGAGAGATTCCATTATGAAAAGTTGTATAATTAGACATACATATATGTACTATTTGAAATTATTTTCATGATATGACTTTCATGCTTAGTATTTTTAGCAAATTGATTTATCGAATATATAAGTGGGAATATCTATAATGTTGAATACGCAATATGTTTTTTTTCTAAAAAGCAAAAGTTCACCTTTGTTGTGACGACCCGACCGGTCGTCTCATGAGTTATCACTCTATTTCTCCCATTTCTGCTTCTTATTTTTTTTATTTACCGGTTCTATGAGTGATCGGGTTGGTTGGATCGAGTTCAGAAAGGATTTGGTAAGGTTTAAGACACTTAGTCTCTTTTGAGGAAGCTTAAGTTGGAAAAGTCAACTGGATGTTGACTTATGTGTTAGAGGGCTCGGATGTGAATTCTGATGGTTCGGATAGCTTCGGGAGGTGATTTGGGACTTAGGAGCGTGATCTGAATGTATTTTGGAGGTCCAGAGTAGATTTAGGCTTGAATTGGCGAAATTGGACTTTTGGCGTTTTCCGGTTGATAGGTGAGATTTTGATATATGGGTCGGAATGGAATTCCGAGAGTTGCAGTAGTTCCGTGGTTTCATTTGGGATGTGTGTGCAAAATTTCAGATCATTCGGATGTGGTTTGGTTGTTTTTTTTATCAAAAGCGAAATTCGAAAGATTTTGAAAACTTAGGCTTGAATCCGATGTGTTTCGGTTGATTCGATGTTGTTTGAGGTGTTTTGAAGATTGGTATAAGTTTAAATAAGGTTATGGGTTATGTTTGTGTTTTTGGTTGAGGTCCTGGGGCCTCGGGGTGATTTCGGATGGTTGACAGAGGGTTTGAAATTTTTTGTGAAGCTGCAGATTTATGCTTCTATTGTTTCCTCACCTGCGGATTGTGGACCGCAAGTGCGATGCCGCAGAAGCGGAAAGTAGCTGGGGAGGTTGTGACCGCAGAAGCAGTTGGAGAAACGTACCTACGATGGCACAGGTGCGGAGTGAGCAACGCGGATACGGAATTTGAAGGCTTAAGTGAAAACCGCAGAAGCAGTTCAAGGACCGCAAATGCGGTATCGCTAAAGCGGGAATTTGGCCGCAGATGCGAAATCCCTGGGCCAGAAGGTATAAATTATTTCCTTCGCGATTTTTGAGCTATTCCACCATTTCCTAAGTCGGCTTTGGAGCTTTTGGGCGATTTTGAAGAAGGATTTCAAGGGGATTTCATTGAGGTAAGGATATTGGACCTAAAACTCGTTCCTATGGTATTATTTCACTGATTAGGGCTGTAATTAATGGAATTAAGGGTTAAAAATTGAAGAAACTAGGAATCTATTGATGTAAATTTTATCGAATTCCAAGACGTGGGCCAGGGGATCAGGTTTTGGTAATTTCGAGATTTATGTTGTAAATTGATTATTTTTGCTTGGGCTTAGTTTCCTTAGCATATTTTGACGTCGTGATTCTGATTTTGGATAGATTCGATGTGAGGGGAGGCCGATTCGAGGGGCAAAGGCATCGTGGGCTAGAGTTTGGACCGAATTGAGGTGAGTAATAATTGTAAATGATGTCCTGAGGGTGTGAAGCCCCAGATTGCACATCCATGTGCTATATTAAAGTGACACACACGCTAGATCACGAGCGTGTGACCGTGCAATATTGGGGATTTGTGACTTAGTCCATCCCGAATGACTATTTTACCGCGTGTTTGACCGAAATCTATTTGCTATCATCATGTTTTGGGCTAAATGCCATATTTGAGCCTCGTGCCAACTATTTGAACCCTTAGGAGATTTTTATTGATATTTCCTCACTGTTTTGACTTCATACTTGAACTCAGTTATGTCATATTCTACTGTTTTCATAACTCAGCCATGTTTACTCTGCTTTAACACTTAAAATGATATTTCAAATAGTATTTTGGGCTGAGCATCATGTTTTACTGTTGCCCGAGTGGCTTTTAAGATTCTAACTGAGTATGGCCGAGGGCCTAGGTTGTGAGGAAACACCTGATTATGATTATGAGGCCGAGGGCCTGAGATTTGTACGCCATGAGGTGGCTTCTTGATATGAGGCCGGGAGCCTAGTGATGATGCCACGGGATGGCTTGATATTGCGCTTGGGCTGTAAGGGGCCCCTCCAGGAGTCTGCACTCCCCAGTGAGCGCGGGTACCCATTGTAATGTGAGATATAGCCCGAGGGGCTGGTTTTGTTTTTGAGATATTGCCCAAGGGGTGGATTTGTTGACATTGTGCCTGAGGGGCGATCCTTTATGTGTTTATCTTTCCTAATTGCCTGTCATTTACTTGCTTTATTGTTAAAAAGGCATTTTATGAAGTTTAACTGAACTCAATGACTTTACACATCTTCACTGCTTCACTGTTTTTACTGGCTTTTACTGCTTCCTTATATCCTGTTATGTGCCTTATGTGATTTCGTACTTCTCAGTATTTATTTATGATTATTACTCACTAAGTTGGAGTACTCACTTTACTCCCTGCACCCCATATGCAAATTCAGGCGCTACTGATCCTGCTTGCGAGGGTTGAGAGCTCTCGGCAGATTTCGGAGTTCACGAGGTAGTTGTTCGGCGTCCACAACACCGTGCTTCTCCCCCTTTATCTCATTTCCTTTCCCTTATTGGTGACTCTGTAGTAGCTTTGTAGACTCTTCAGACTTGTATTAAATTGATAGATGCTCATGACTGGTGACACCTCGGTATCGGGCTGTGTTGGATTTTATTTTCGCAAATTGTAATGTTCACTGTTTATTATTTTGGGATTTTATCATGTTTAAGACTTATTATTTATTGTTTTAATTGCTTAAAAATTGAAATGGGAACGTGTCGGCTGGCCTTGTCTTCACGAGAGGCGCCATTACGACCGGGTCCGGGTTTAGGGTTGTGACAAGTTGGTATAAGAGCCTAGGTTACATAGGTCTCACGAGTCATGATCAGGTTTAGTAGAGTCTTGTGGATCGATACGAAGACGTCTATATTTATCCTCGAGAGGCTGCAGAACCTTTAGGAAAACTTCAGCTTCTTGAAATTCTTGTCGTGCGAATTTGTTGATCCGAGTACTGAACTTCTGTTATTCTATTCTCTCACAGATGGTGAGGACACACACTACCGGTCAGGATGGACGACCACCAGTACCACCAACTGTGGCCACTAGAGGTCGAGGACGCGATCGTGGTAACGGTAGGGGCAAAGTTGTGGCCTGCACAACAACTAGGGCAACACCTACAAATCCACCAGCTGCCCCAGTTTAGGATCAGGTCCCAGTTGTGGATGCTCCAGCAGCACCAGCTCAGGCACCAACTGTGCCTATTATAATTCCGGATCTTCAGGAGGCTTTGGCTCAGATTCTGTCAGTATGCACTGGCCTAGCTCAGGAGGTTTCAGTTATTACAGTCGCAACTACTTCTCAGGCCGGGGGAGGCACTCAGACTTCCGCCGCTCGCACACCTGAGTAGGTCGTGCAGGGACTTCAGACACCGGGGACGCATCTAGCCCAGCCGGTTGCAGGTGCTCAAGACTATGTAGTTCCTACCATGCCAGAGGACGAGCATCATAGGTTGGAGAGATTTGGTAGACTTCAGCCTCCGACTTTCAGCGGTGCAGAGGGCGAGGATGCCCAGGGTTTCTTGGATAAGTGTTAGAGGATGCTTTGTACTGCAGGTATTTTGGAGACTAGCGGGGTCGCTTTCACTACTTATCAGTTTCTGGAGCTGCCTTCACTTGGTGGGAGGCTTTTGAGAGGCATAGGCATGTTGCTGCAACACCCCTTATCTTCTTGGAGAAGTATGTGTCGCAGTCTCGCAGAGAGGAGCTGCGCAGGCAGTTTGAGTGGTTGCATCAG